TATAACAACACAATTAATAATAATAAGTAGCCTAATATATATAATTACACTTGCAGAAAGCACAAAATTTGTGTTCAAAATGAGCCTAAAATAATAAATAATAAGCCTAATTAGGGATAGTAAAGATCCATTTCCAAAATCAAAAGCATAAAATAACATGCATACTCACAGTTTGTGAAAATGAATATACTAAATATAACTATACAATGTTAAAAATATTTGTTAAATACAGTTTTATTTTATTTTTATTTCAGTATTTTGAGAGCACCTTGCAAAATTGTCAATATACACATATCTATTCTGTGAACAGCCTAGTTAGGATAAAGAACTATATTACCTGGCAGATGAATAGTTTATTTTGATTTTGATAATTAATGCATACAATTATTTGTTTTTATTAAAATAAAATTTTAGCATATTGCTGTTGCTGCTGGAGAAACCAGCATTAGGAAGCTTATTGTGTCTAATCTGAAAAGGTTTAAATGTTTTACTTCACAAGTTTTCCACTGGCTTTTGTAAAAATAAACTGATAGATTGATAGTAAATTGATAGTAGGTGTATGTATAGATATTTGACTGGCAGGCCGCCTGCCTGTGAACTGATGGATGGATGATTAGGCAAATCTTTTAACACTATCTGAAATCTCCATTGGGAGCTGGATAAAGAGACCTCTCATCCCCAAAACATCAATCCAGAGCACATCGACTTAACAGTGTCTCTCAGCCCTGTTCCTCCATCTCCCATCACAGCTTTCATTCAACCTTTAATCGCGCTGCTTCCTCAGTTACTTGTAAACGTCCATCGTCATTCCTATCTCTCTCTCTCTCTTTCCTGCATCTGACATTTTCAGTTCCCAGAATATTTACAGCAATGCACCGCCTGACAGATAAAGCTGTAATGGCGTGTAACGACTTTCCTTCTTAAGGTCCTTGCACACTGATACGAAATTCTCGTCTGAAATTTTCACACGTTAAAAAATAAATTATATAACCTCACGTTGTGTCAATCATGTTTACATACAGTACTTCCTCTGAAACTTTCGTCCGTTATAAAAAAATCGGATTGGGTTACATTTTCTGTGGTTTTCACATTAAGGGGTGTTTTGACAATTCAGAGCCACGCCAAAATACAGAATGACTTTTGACAACTTTATTTTATTGCACTTTATCTATTTGTATCCGTAGATTTCACTTACAAAACATATCTTTAAAAGCTGTTTTCTCAAAATGAGTTTTTTCTGAAGTACTGAGCCAGAAATCCAGGATTTTATTATTTATGAAGTTTATCCAAAATCCCATCTGTAAAATCTCTAATATGTCAACAAAATAAAACACGGATTTTGAACCTGGCTTTATCCAATGTTCAGATTTCTGTTCTGGTAATTTATGCAAAACAGTGCACATTTAATTAGATAACAGCGTATTCATTTACCCTATTTACCTTATTGTGTCTTGCCTTCTTTCTTACCTTCAATAAACATACAATCTTAATCACACGTCCACACAGTTTGAATGGCCATGTGGGTTCTGTAGTATGCTATAATATAAAGCAAACAGAAGGGAAAATAAATATTCTAAAGTAATAAATTAGTCAAAACAATTTTGCATAAAATTAAATATTTTGAAATTAATTTGATCAAATTATTGGGGCATGTGTGGCTAGCTTTCACAAATTTTACTGCAGTACATATTTCTATATATATATATATAGACAAATACTTTGAAGTCTTGACTATAAAAATGCTATTGAATATTTCCACTATTATTGCCTAGGAAAACATTGCATTGAAGACATGTGGATCTATACCGGGTATTAAAATTTATTTTTATACAATTGAACTTGGGACTCAGACCTTATAGTATGGCTCTTGTACAACTAATGGCCAAGTAAATGGCCAGTCTAGACTATTGTTAAATATGAAATACTATCTAATGTAATAAAATATATCTTTAAAAACATCTGTATTTAAAATCTATACGCTATTTAATATCTTTGTAGCTAAATTTAAATAGTAGGCTAAAAATTAAAATTAAAAAGTAACATACCATTTGTTTAGGCCAAAAGTGGGCAACATAATGACAACATATGAAAAAGGGCCTGAATGCTTTCTCATCAAATGCACTGTAGTAAATGAGTGTTCAATATTTGCATACAAAGTTGTGACATTTACCATTTTTCTTTAAAGTTTAGAACATTTTGAGCCATCATTTTGAAAAAATAAAATAAAATTACTTATAGTATGGCTCTTGTACAACTAATGGCCAAGTAAATGGCCAGTCTAGACTATTGTTTTTTTCTTTTTGTTTTCAAATTAAATACGGCATTACTACATGCTACCAAGTGGCAGCAGGGATGAGCAGAGATAATTTTATTTCACTGGGAGTTGTAGTGGTAGACACTGAAGCGACGCATATGCAATCACTCACTTGTTTCTGTGGTCTGTCCCACAGTCCCTGGATGTAAATTGATATAGTCTTGTCCTGCCCTTCCACTGGCAGGAATATTGGAAAGGAGACAGAGCAAGACACCCCAAGGCGACAGCCTGTCTGGGCAGACTACCCTTGTGACTACGCCACACTCCTCACTCGCCTCCACACACATGCCCCCAAACATCTCATATACACACAGAGGACGGCATGCATAGACACTACACATGCCATGAACAGATGTACTGTATGTGCACACATACACACCATGACACCATCTGGATGGATGGTCCAATTACACTCAATCTCCTGGTCTCTTGCTCTGGTGGGTATAGTGATGTCTGACAAACATAGGCTTATTGGAAAAACATTCCTCTACCTACATTTTTGCAAAACTCTAAAAACAAAAGTGAGGCGATGTGTAGCCAAGTATGGGTTCCTCCCTGCCGGTACTGAGACTCGAACCCGCGATCTTTGGGTTATAAGCCCAACTCTCCAACCATTATGCCACGACTGACCTATAACCTATACGTAGAACTCAACTCAATTTCCATCAGAAACACTGAAATACTGAAATACTAACACAATGAATATATTCCTTTTCACACAAATTACGATTACAGGGGCAGATTATAGATTCATGAAGACTTATTTTCACATGGTTCCTTGCACAATTTCGAAACACCTCGAACAACCAGCTCCATATGTATGGCTTTTTTGACATAGTAAACTTGCTCAGTAGCTCATCTGGTACACTCGGGTATGAGACCCATTTGCATTTGTTAACACAAGTGGTTAGGTTTAGAGTAGGGTTTTTCAAACACGATAAAGCATTAACCTTTTAGTGACACTCAGCGGACATTTAATTTCCGAACTGCTGTGATAAGTGCAACAACCAACGTAATAACACGTCACCAGATTCACGTCCACCTGTTTCTGAGAAAACTTTTATAGCCACTCACTGGACATTTCACCTTTGCAGAAATGTCACCACACGCATATTTTTCAAAAGAGCTGGGGTTGCACATAATATACCCCAATGTAAGAATGCAAAAATGGTTGTAATGCTCCTCAACACGGGCTCTACTCCATAAACTGTGAGTCGTTCTTGAACATGCTTTTCAGTTGTTAAGGTATTCTTTATAACATTTAATAGCATATCAGTAATGTTTAAAAATAACATTCCCCAACTAAAGCCCTCAGGTTGGAAACCCTGCTCTAGAAAATATACGTTAATGTTATGTCTCTGCTGCCAGGTGAGGCTGAATGTAAAAGAGTGTGAACTTTGTAAGCAAAAACACCTGCCTAATCCAGATAGTCACAAACACACATGTTTACTAATCCCTCCACTCTCTCTGCAAATCAGTCTCTCTCCCCCTCTCTCTTGATCCTTCATCTATGCACTGTATGAAGTGACCCAAATACCCAATATTGTCTGGCAGTCTCATTTGACCAGATGTTTAATTTAAAACAACATAATAGCGTGCAAACAGACATGCACTGCATTTACACTAACCCTTAGTTCCACATTCTCCCTATTATATTTGTACTGTTTTGCTAATTTTTTTTTCTACCCTAAAACTGAGTCTCCAAAAATGTCTCAAGTCGTTAAATTGATTCACATGAATCCTCATCAAGACCCTCATCTGCCCCCTTTAAGACCCTCATGATAAAAAGCGATCCAAAATGTTTTGATTTATCAAAACATTATAAAGAGTTACAGCAATTAAATGCTCTGGTGTTGCCCATTTTGACTAATTGACCTATCTCAATACAATGTCCAAAGCTAGACAACAAGAGATTCTGAGTATGCACGCCAAGTTGTGTCAAAATCTGCCCACGGGGGGCGCTACAACTAAAAACCTGACATAACTCCGCAACAGTTTGTCCAGAAAGGAAAATAAAATTTGATGTGTATCTTCTTTAGGCCAAGTGCTAGCCTAGCCATGAAAAATTAATCGTGCAAACCAAAAAAAAAATGGCCACCAGCAGTTGTTGCATTGGTAATGATTGAACGTTATGACATTTAGCACATAAATACAAGGTAACAAGGCTGTGCACAATATTTGGTAAGAATCAGCCACAAGCTGGAGCTATAGGAAGCTAATTAACACTTTTGTTAATAATTCTAGAATTGTGATGGCTAGAATAAAAATTAAGGCTGTAATACAAAAGGAAGCCACAGAGTAAGAAATCCTTTTAGGTCTTAGGTAAATGGCTGAATTTTATAAGTTGATGATTATGTATTTAAAAAGATACTGATAGGATAATCAAAGAGGAAAACATCATTTTTTGTCAGTCTTTCCAATTAAGTGTTCTAATACTTGATGATAAGTGCATCAGTAATTGAGGCCATCGGTTCAAACTTCTATTGAACTGCAACTATGCAAAATGGTTTAGATAGTTAGCATGACTACGCAATTGGTCATGAGTTAATTAAAATGTATTGCCATGCATATGATGATGGCCTTTCATTGACTTACTGGAAAATAAAAATCTGTCCAGGGCATTAACTTGCTAACTAACATGTGTTTCTCTCACTCTTCTCTCTTTCCAGGGTAAAAGAAAACATGCCACAAGACCAAATTGACTTCTGAATCATCTAGTGTAAAGAACCATTATATTGGTTGAATTGTGCTATAAAAGGCAAGTGGAGGCTAGGAGAGCTTGCTGGTTGCATGATGGCTCCTGAAGGTATAGGAGAGCTTCGAGACTTGCTCTTCTTCCTGCTCCTGTGCCTCACAGTATTGGCTGAGCTACTGGAGATGACTGCAGCATCTTCGCAGGGACTAGATGGCGAAGGTGACATAGTGTGCCCATCTGTGTGTCGCTGTGATGAGGACTTTATTTACTGCAACGACCGTGGATTGAGCGCAATCCCACCTCTGCCACCATCTGCAACTGTCCTTTATCTCCAGAACAATCACATTGACAATGCAGGGCTTCCTAGGTCCTTGGAGCATCACACCACCGTGCGTGTTATATATCTCTATGATAACGAGCTTGATGACTTTCCCATGCATTTGCCACCTTCATTAAGAGAGCTTCACCTCCAGGACAACAACATTCGAGTGTTGCAAAGGGCTGCACTTGCTAGATTTCCACTCCTTGAAAAGTTGCATCTGGACGACAACTCTGTTTCTACAGTGAGTATTGAGGACCAGGCCTTTGCGGACAACCCTCGGTTACGTCTCCTCTTCCTCTCCAGAAACCACCTTTCCAGCATCCCATCTGGTCTTCCTGCCTCACTTGAAGAACTCCGTTTAGACGACAACCGAATCTCTACTATTCCTACGCATGCCTTCCGGGGTTTGTCCTCTTTACGTCGCCTGGTCTTGGATGGTAATCTTTTAGCTAATCAACGCATTGCTGATGATACCTTCTCACGCTTGTCGAACTTAACAGAACTCTCCCTGGTCCGTAATTCACTTCAAACACCCCCACTTAACTTGCCCAGTGCCCACCTGCAGAGACTCTCCCTTCAGGACAATAACCTCATACACATGCCTCGGGGATCACTCGATGGAATGCGCAGACTACAGCGCCTAGATCTTTCTGGAAACAATCTGACCACCCTTCCCAGAGGATTGTTCAGGGACTTGGAGAGCCTGGGGCAGCTGCTTGTGAAAGGAAACCCATGGCATTGTGGGTGCAACTTGCGCTGGCTGCACGACTGGCTGGAAGCAAAGGGGAATACAATTACAGTTAGAGGCTTTATCTGCCAGACACCAGAGCGTGTCCGAGACATGGCGCTTAGAGACCTCACGAATCAGATGGATGAATGTGAGTTGGCTGCTGCTGGTGGTGGAGGAGTAGGTACAGGAGTCGGCGTTGGTGGTAACAGGGTGAGTGGAGGAGCGGCGGGAGCCATTTCTACCACTCTTTCGCCCCCTCAAGGGTCCCTGTTTACTCTCAGGTCCAAGCGACCAGGCCTCAGTCTCCCAGAAACAGGGCTGGACTACACATTAAGCAGCAGCGGTGTGGGCAAGAACCTGGCCCTGAATGTGAAACCCCTTTCTCACAACAGTATCCGTGTTACCTGGAGCATAGCGCAAACATCTTCTTCCTTTCGATTAAGCTGGCTCCGCCAAGGAACCAGCTCTGCCATGGGGTCCATCACAGAAACCTTGGTTAGGGGTGACCGGCGGGAGTATCTTCTCACTTCCCTGCAGCCTGCTTCCAGCTACATCATCTGCATGGTGCCTCTAGTGTCTAACAGTGGAAGCAGGAGTAGTTTGCCTGGGGGCGACACAGAACCAAATGAGGTTCCAGTTTGTGCCAGAACAGAAACGTCTGATCCTGGCCACCCTGATGATGAGGGTGAAGACGACAGCTCTGATCAAATTACTTCGCTTCCACTTGCAGGAATTATTGGAGGTGCTACGGCAATAGTTTCCCTTGCTCTAATCATTGCTATTTTCTGCTGGTATGGGCACCGTGCAGGACATTTCACATCACGAGACCATTACAGCCATGGTAGCTCTCGCAAGAGCAAACACTGTGATGACTACATTGAGTCAGGCACAAAGAAAGACAATACTATCTTAGAGATCAGAGGTCCAGGATTGCAGATGACACCAATGGCAACAAGACAGCCCCTTCAACCGAAACCAGTGAGAGAAGATTACATTATACACACCATCTTCCCCTCGAATGGCACGGGTCTATACACGCCATCCCAAAACATGACCAACTCTGGCTACAGTACCAACCGTGGCTATAGAGAAGGAGGCATTCCAGATATAGATTACTCTTACACATGATAGCTTTGATTTAGAAACCATAATTAGGAGTCATGTACTGCATAGATACACAGATTTTAATCAACATGGGCTCTGCAGAATCCCCTTTGTGCCTTCTGGTCTCCATTACAATGTAGCCTGCTGTTCATGACACTATAAAGCTTTTAATTGGCCCAGATGCTTATAGGAAGCATTATAAATGTGGTGCCAGGAGGCGGTGATGCCATTTCAGGGGGTGATACCAAATGCTATTTTCACCTCGCGGTGTAATGATCAGAGTCCCTGACATTGCTCTTTTATCTCTGGCTGGTGCACTGAGGTGGATTCAAGGGCAGCCCACACCGCATTCAGCTCACAGATTGTTCATAAAGCTCAGTGCATATATGGGAGAGAGGCAGTCTTCTCACAGGAAATAACCAACCCGCTGTACATTTTAGTCTTTGTCTCCTATGAGATGAAGCTCCTGAGTCAAGGGTTTGAACCAGGATTGACATGAATCCTGCATCAAGCAAGAAAACCTCTTCGCTCAGAGGAAACTGGAAATGTGTTGTTGCAAGTGATCCTTCTGGGAAATGCACAGGTTCACATGCACAGTTTTTTTTTTTTTGGAGATATGAGCTGCAGAACACGAGTACTATTCCTGATAAAGTTGGAGTGTCTGGACCAAGCAGAGACATGGCCCTCAAAAACTACAGCAAGGTTTGAAATGCCTCAAAAACTAAATTCATTTGAATTCTTCTACACTTGAAAACTGCCTGATGCTACTATGATAACGTCCAACAAGCGTTATGATGACTGTTCTAGTTTCAGACTGGTGTAAAGTTGAGAGGACAAATGAAACGTGTTTTTGTGTCTTGAGGAACTTTCGATTTTTAAAAATTGCAACTGAACCCTGGTGTGTTGATAGATACAAACAATGCAAATTATTATTTTTTGTTTTTGTTTGCTCTTTTTAAACTTGTTTCACTTTAATTTTGAAGTCATATAGCCCTGCTGATAGTTATATTATAATTTTCAAACAAGGGTATCACTAATGTAAAAGAACCTTTTCCTACAAAAACACAAAACTTGCTTGTTTCAATAGATTGTCCCCTATAATGCACAGAGACTAAACCAGTGTTCTGTTAAGGTGGCTCATTCTTTGTAGGTTACTTAGCCACATACTTAGCACAAAATTAAATTCTATAAATCACTGACGTACATTTCCAAATGTCACTGTAGATAAAGATATGGCCTTGCTGCTAACCACAGCGGTTGTTCTGCTACGATTCTTAGGGAGAAGATGGAGGTTATTCGAGGGAAACCAGGAATTTGAACCATAACACTGTGGACCATCACTGTGGGAGATAGAGAGTGCATCAGTATGTTGTATAATTTTGTAAGGCGGAGGCATTTTTGATTAATTAAAAAAATTCACTTTTTTTCCTCGTGTAGAAATTAAGCATTTTGTCAGTGTCTTCAACCTATTCATTTAAGCCAACAGCAGAACAGAACACTAATTAAGGAAAACTTATCAGACCATTTATGTAATGGTTCTAAAGTAGACAGAGAGAAAAGTTATGTGTGGGTTTTTTTTACGAAAGAGCCTCCATGACATTTCTGTTCTGCTCTGCTGTATTCATGTAGTTGAGGACTTCAGGAGAATTTAAAAACAGGAAAGGAAAGATGGGTAGATAGAGAAAGAGAGAGAGATAGAAGTAGAATGTTCTAAACTGAGAAAGAGCAAGAGATTATATACATAAAACATGGCCTAACAACGCCCCTTAGCTGTTATAAATTCACTGTAAACCACGGCTTCACGGGGGTTTATTGCTTTATATATTGAAGCAGAGGCCTAACGGAAATGAAGCCTGTGGTGTTGAACCGTGCATGAAATGTTTTGTCATCTTCTTGCTGTCTGCTGTTGTGTTGGCACTTTGTCTTACGCCTTTCCCTCTACACAAAGGACTACTCCTAACTTCTGTTTCAGAAATGGAAATTAATCAAGACTTCATGGCGTTTCAGTATGCTCTGGTTTTACAGCAGT